TACACATATAGGGTGACATTGAAAGTACGGTCGTAACTTTCTAGAGGCGCTTATCAGTGCAAATGCCAATTTTTCTAGGTGTGGATATCTAGCTTCTGCTTCTCCTAAGGTTCGACTTATATAATAAATGGGAAATTGCATACCTTGCTCTTCCCGAACTAGGACACCGCTTACTGCGATTTCTGATACTGCCAAGTATAAGCAAAGTTTTTCGTTTGCTTTCGGAGTGTGAAGTAGTGGTAGGCTTGACAGATATTGTTTCAGTTCCTTCAATGCCTGTTGGCATTCCGGGGTCCAAGCGAAATCATTTTTCTTTTTGAGTAGGGAGAAAAATTTGTAACTACGATCTGATGATCTCGAAATGAATCGGCCTAGGGCCGCAATTCGTCCTGTTAGCCTTTGTACAGATTTTACGCTGTTCACGATTGTGATTTCTTCGATGGCCTTGATTTTATCGGGGTTAATCTCGATTCCCCGATTTGACACCATGAAGCCGAGGAACTTGCCCGTACCGACCCCGAAAGCACATTTTTCGGGGTTGAGCTTCATGTTGTATTTCCTCAAAATCTCGAACGTTTCCTGCAAATGGGTCGGATGGTCCTCTGCGCGCAGGGACTTAACTAGCATGTCATCAATATAATCTTCCATTGATTTACCTATTTGTTCTTCGAACATTTTATTTACTAGACGTTGGTAAGTAGCCCCCACATTTTTTAGCCCGAATGACATCACATTATAACAATATGTTCCATATTTGGTGACAAATGAAGTCTTTTCCTGGTCCTCTGGGTTCATACAGATTTGATTATACCATGAATAGGCATCGAGAAAAGTGAGGATCTCGTGACCGGTCTTGGCATCGATCATGCGATCGATGTTGGGTAGTGGAAAAGAATCTTTGGGGAATGCTTTATTTAAATTCTTATAGTCCACGCCCATTCTAAGTTTGTTTCCTTTTTTAGGCACTACAATTATATTGGCTAACCATTCGGTATATTTTACCTCCCGAATGGACCCTATCTTTAGAAGTTTGGTTACCTCGTCTTTTACGAATGCGTATTTACCTCGGATTGGGGTCTTCTCTTTTGCTTTACCGGTCTGAACTTAGGGTCCAAGCTTAGCCAATGCGTCGTTATGTCCTGTGGAATCCCTGTTATATCTAAATGGGACCAGGCAAAACAATCAATGTTATCGATAAGAAATTGAACAAGTTTTTTCCTGAGTTCGGGGCTCAACCCCGTTCCCAGGTATACCTTTCGTTCGGGCCAGTGCTCGATTAGTGTGACTTGCTCCAATTCCTCAATTGTTGATTTGGTGGCATCAGAGTCATCGGGAATCACGAAGGATCGAGGGACCCTCTGATCATCATGTTATTCGATCATATGGTTTTTGGTTGGGTCGAAGCCGATGTCTGTGATTGCTATTTGGTGTCTCGTTCTCCTTCTGAGGCCGATCCCTTTACTGACGAAGGTGAGGATATTGGTTTGGTTTCCTCGACGACGAACATTTCTTTTGCTGCTGGTTGTTCTCCGTACACTGTTTTGACTCCTCTCGATGTTGGGAATTTGAGGACCTGGTGTAGGGTTGAAGGTACAACTCTCATGTTGTGGATCCATGGCCTTCTGAAAAGGGCGTTGTACCTCATGTCGCCTTCGATCACGTGAAACTTCGTTTCCTGGATGGTTCCGGCCACGTTTATTGGTAGAATTATCTCGCCTTTGGTGGTTTCACATGCCATATTGAATCCGTTTAGAACTAGGGCTTCGGGTACGATCTGGTCCCGCAGGCCGAGCTACTCTACGACCTTCAATCTGATGATGTTGGCCGAGCTATCTGGATCAATCAACATACGCTTAACTTTAATTTTATTCATGAGTACGGATATTACCATTGCATCGTTATGAAGTGCGACCCCTTCTGCATCTTCATCGTTGAAGGACAAAGTTACTATGGGTGTGTAATCTTGAGTTCGAGAACGCTTTTCTCTCACAATCGATGTTTTAGTGCGTTTAAGCACTGGTCCCTGAGGGGTATCGGCACCGCAGATGATCATGTGAATGACGTGATGCAGCTCTTCCTGCTCGTTTTGCTTGTCGAAATCCCTCTTTTTAAAATGGTTCCTCGCCCTATCACTCAAAAATTCCCGAAGGTGGCCTTTGTTAAATAACCGGGCTACTTCCTCTCTTAGTTGCCTGCAATCTTCTATTCTGTGGCCATGGGTGCCGTGATATTCGCATATTTGATTGGGATTCCTTTGGACATGATCGATCTACATGGGCCGAAGCCATCTAATGTCTTTGATGCGTCCGATAGCAAACACGATGGCGGATGTATCAACGCTGAAGTTATATTCCTATAACACAGGTGCTTCTATAGGATCGACATATTTATCAAAGCCGCTCTTGCTCATAATTCCCCGAGAAATTTGTCCTCGATCAATCCTTCGATTGTTCCGAGCGGTGTTGCGTGTCGAACCGTTGTTCATCCGATCTGCGGCGTACGGTTGATATCGATCTCTGTTCGACCTTTGTTCTCTGTTAATCTCCCTTTGGATTTTAGTAGCTGTCCTGTTCTGATGCATGGATCCAGACGGAGCTCCCAACTGGTCATCTTCGACTAGTATCGGTTGTGTATATCTGCCCAAGTTATTGCTGGATACTCGATCAAATTTTGCTTCAGCCGACGCGATGCTATCGAACTTTGCTCGTTCAACCCTTGGGTGAAAGCTTGGACGGCCAAATCGTCTGTGACCGGTGGCAATTCTATGCGTTCTATTTAAAATCGGGATATGAATTCCCTCAGCATTTCATTACCCCTTTGCTTTACTTTGAAGAGGTCTGATTTCCTTGTTGCAACCTTTAAGGCACCAGCATGTGCTTTTATGAACGAATCTGCTAACATGGCAAAAGAATCGATGGAATTTGGCGGCAGATTGTGATACCAAATCATCGCTCCCTTCGAGAGGGTCTCCCCGAACTTTTTCAACAACACGGATTCGATCTCATCGTCCTCCAAATTGTTATCCTTGATGGCACATGTGTAAGAGGTGACGTGTTCGTTATGATCGGTCGTACCGTTATATTTGGGAATTTCGGGCATACGGAATTTTTTGGGGATTGGTTTTGGGGCCGCACTCGAGGGAAAAGGCTTTTTGTATGAATGTTTTCTAATCCGCCCTTTTATCATTGGTGGAGCTCTCAGGATCTGATCGACCCTGGCATTGTATGTTTCCATTCTCTTGTCATTGGCTTCGACTCGTTTTGTGAGTTCCTCGAGCAATTTAGAAATTTCGGGAGTGGTCCCCGATTCTTGCTCGTTTGATTTCACTATGGCGGGCTCCATTCTGGGGTGATTTCTCGAAGCAAATTGGGATCTGGCATGCTTTGTATATGAGTTTGGCTCTGCAACTGAGCTATCGCTACTTGTTGGGCTTGTAACATCTCGAAGATCATGCGCAAGCTGACTCCGATTTCCCCCACGTTTATGGGTGTCTCGAGCTACGGATCGAGTACCGCCCTGAATGTTTTTTTCCGGTTCGGAACGTTGGTTCGCCTCAAGAGCCACTTGCCAATTGACATCTAACGGTACTTCGGCTCGAATTTCGGGTACTTCGATTTGGGCCTCAGTGCCATCGTCAAGCAGCCTTCCGGCCCCGGGTACCAAGTTGTTGGTTTCATCTTGAAGGTCGGCTTCATGGTCGATAGGTAAAGCCATTGCTGATTCGAAGTTGTAAATTGGTGTGTACTGCAGATTCATATCAAACAATAACTGTTATCCTTAGCTCCACGGTGGGTGCCAAACTGTTTACCCGAAAAATTAGATAACGTTAAATTTGTGTATGGTTCTAAGGATATGTGATACAATTTGATATAAATCGTATAGAGAAATAGAAATATGTGTATTCTTGGCTATGAGAATGGGAATAGTGAGCAAAAGAATGAATAAGGTAAAATGAAACAAGCATGGGGAGATATCTTTCAATATGAGAAGTGATATTTTGTTATAGTGTATTCTCGGTGTCCGTATGCTTACAAGGATTCCCCTTTTATAATAGAGGGATCATACTTTATTTATAATAAAACAAAGCATATAGTGGAGGACCCATGATGAATTGTCTCTTCCTCGATTCCCGCTAAGATTCTCTCTCTTAGTGCGGTTGTAACGGATCTTGTCTGTGAGCTCGACACTGGCTCGAACTCGTTATTGGGTCGAGCCCTCGGTTTTGGCTTGAATTCGACCTCCGAGGTGGGCGTAGCGCATTTCTGACCTCGAAGCAATACCTTGCGGATCGATTTGGTCACGGGCTCGATAAAAGTATCGAGCCGACTCCTCGATTAGCCGTCGAACTCGAGGCTCGTTTGTACTACTTTCGAAACTCATCCCAAAATCCCACTCCGGTTGCTTACCGTTCGAACTCGATCGAACGTAGGAAGGCCGAAATCTATTTCGACCGTATACATCATCCAAGTTCGTTCACAAGTTCACCAAATAGAATTTTGATTTCTTCGTTTTTAGCTTCTCCAACAGAATTCAACATACGAAAGATTTTCAATTTTCGCTAATGCTAGAAGCATAATCATTGTACGAGCTTCTTCCATTTGTAATAAACATTAGAAATAAGACGCAAGAATTCTTGGAAATTGAAGTACAAAATTTTCTCTTACTATCTCTGCAACAACGTTAGCCATTTGGGTATAATCCAACGTCTGTCCTCTCACATCCCAGATTTGTTGATTGTAGTCTTTAGATAATTCGAAATATAATTGGATTCAGGTTTTAATTTTGAAGAGAGAAGAAAACATAGTTCCCTGTAGATGAATTAAGGTGAGTTTATAATGTTGGGAAAGCAGAGTGTGTGGCGGGGAGGAGGGGATAAAATGGTGTTGGGTGGTCAGGTGTAAGGTGACATCCACCTCATATAAATCTTAGGCCACGTGAGACTGGTGGTGGCTACGGTGGAGGAGTTAACGGCTGAAGGGCAATTTTGATCTACTTTTATAACTTCGAGGGTATTGTTGGACCTATAGTGTAACAAAGGGTAAAATTGATCATATTCAAATAGTATAAGGTGAACCTTTTCCTTTTTTTCTTTTATCCTTTTTTGCCCTTTTTCTTTTGAGTGATTTGAATTAGCGCATAGTTAAGCATACGCCATGGCACAAACCATGCAATTCATCAAATCCAAGTCCATAGCTCATTCTTGCTTCAACTTCACACGCTCATTCTCCGATTTTTCATCTCTCTCCAACCTCTTACAAGGCTGCATTCCACATAATCACCTTCTACAAATCCATGCTCGGGTTTTCCGTATTGGTGCTCACCAAGATAACCTCATTGCCACCCGCCTTATTGGTCAATACCCATCAAATATTTCCCTCCGGGTACTTCGCGGCCAGTTGAAAAAACCCAATCTTTTCCCCTTCAACGCCATTATCAGGGTTCTTAGTGAAGAGGGAAATTTCACTGACGCATTCTTGGTTTTTAACAAGTTAAGATATCAGTCCCTTTTGCCTAATCAGTTGACCTTTTCATTCCTTCTCAAAGCTTGTTCTCGTTCTGGGAATTCATATTATGTTCAACAGGTTCATTCCCTTGTTCTAAAGTTGCGTCTTGGTGATGAACCATCTCTCTGTAAAGGGTTGTTAAGTGTTTATGCTAGGAGTTTGAGAGAGTTGCATTCTGCGCGTAAGCTGTTTGATGAAATGCCTGATAAGGATGTTGTTTCTTGGACTTGTTTGATTTCTGGGTATGCCAAGTTGGGTTTGTCTGAGGAAGCTTTGTGTCAATTCTTATCTATGGTAAATAAGAGTTTGATCCCTGAAAATGATACTATGGTTAGTGTGTTATCTGCATGTTCAAAACTTGATATGTCAAATATTGAGAAATGGGTTGGGAACTTTTTGTATGATTTAGGAAGTTCTGGATGTGACTCGGTTAGTATTGTTCTTTGTTACTTGTATGGAAAGTGGGGAAAGGTTGATAAGAGTAGGGAAATATTTGAACAGATTTCTGGTGATGGGAAGAGAAGTGTGCTTCCTTGGAATGCTATGATAGGCGCATATGTTCAGAACGGCTGTGCGCTGGAGGGTTTAAGTCTTTTCCAGTTGATGATGGAGCTTAATTGTTGTTGCCCCAATCATGTGACGATGGTTAATGTGCTCTCAGCTTGTGCTCAAGTTGGTAATTTGTACCTTGGTTTGTGGGTTCATGAGTACATGAAAGGTAGTAGGCAAAAAGGGTTTTTACTTTCAAATGCAAATCTTGCAACTGCTTTGATAGATATGTACTCTAAATGCGGGAGTTTAGAGAAAGCAGGAGATGTTTTTGACCAATTGGTTGTTAAAGATGTTGTTTCATTCAATGCTATGATCATGGGTCTTGCAATAAATGGTAAAGGCATGGAGGCGTTAAAACTTTTCTCGCAAATGCTAGAGCTTAATTTGCGTCCGAATGCTAGAACATTCCTTGGTTTGTTATGTGCTTGCAGTCACTCAGGTTTGACAGCAGAAGGCCGTCAGATATTTAAGGAAATGAGCCAATGTTTTTGTATTGCTCCTAGATTGGAACATTATGCTAGTTATATTGATCTCCTCGCTCGAGTAGGTTATGTTGAGGAAGCACTTCAAGTTGCTACCTCAATGCCTTTTAAACCCAACAATTTTGTATGGGGAGCTTTACTTGGTGGCTGCATGCTGCATAACAGATTGGAACTAGCCCAAATTATTTCATCCATTCTTGTTGAGATGGACCCTAACAATTCTGCTGGCTATGTGATGTTGTCCAATACATATGCCAGTGATCAACGCTGGAGTGCTATTTCACGACTGAGGTTGTCTATGAAGGAAAAAGGAGTAGCAAAGATGCCAGGATGTAGTTGGATTAACATTGCCGGAGTAGTGCATGAATTTCTGGCTGGGTCCTCCTCACATCCTCAGAATGAGAGCATGCATAGCATATTGCAGGTGTTACTGAAGGAGATGAAGCTAGCAAGTATTTAGACAACTCACAAGCATATTCTTGTTGAGGAGTTACTATCAGCACTCTTTCTACCATGCGGTTTCGCGTGCATAAAGAATGAGGTTTGGTGGGATGGAGCTGCATTAAAGATCTCTGTTGTTCAGAAAGGATATGCGGACTCTCTGGAAGGCACTAGGCTAGTGGATACTGTCGCTTGGTTTCATAGGGCTATCTATTTGCAGCATCGACTGTCACAAGTACTCTCTTGTAAATAACTCTTCCATTACATCATTTCATCTCTTTTTAGCAGCAGCTAGTCCCAATAAATGTTGTAGAGTCTTTGTCTTCAGCTGATGCATGATTCTGCTTTGTGATCCTTCAATTTTGTTGCCCTGATACAGCAGTGGAGTTATTTCTGGACTTCAGATTGCTGCCTTTATGCTCTTTTTAGACCACTAACATCAGGTATATTTTTCAATTTATTTTCCAGTGGGATTGTTCTTAACTTCAACTTATAAACTTTGACCCATGCTTAGCTGATGCAATTACTAAAACAAATATATTGGTTGTGGAAGGATACTTGTTTGAGCTTCCTGATACAGTCAGACAATTTCGAAAGTCTCGAAGAAGCCTGCAAGAGTGGAGCAGTAGTTGGCATCACACCATCAGATGTGTCCTGCATTGAGAGACATTATGATGATTACTGGTAAAACTTTGTTTTCTATCTTGCATCTGCATAATAAAGCTGAACACCCCCCCCCCCCCAAACACACACACACAAAAGCAGAAGAAAAGAAAATATGGAAAACTAGGTTTAGCTCAGTCTTTGATCCTCAATGTGGAAACTGAAGTCCATGCGGATTCATGCTATGTCTTGGCACAGGTGTTGCTCCCAAATGCACGCGCAAGCATATGTGGTCGTACAAGTAATAAAGTGATAAATCGAGTGTCGAACCCACAGAGATTTGTGTTAACTACCCACTAGTTTCACCAAAATTATTATTCAGTCGAGTCAATCAGAGTTTAAAAGTGTGATTATATTAAGCAATAATTCTAACAAGTAACTAATTAATCAAGCAACAAAATAGTTGTTGTGTATTCAGTAGAGACGAATATTCTAGGGTTGTGATCGATTCACCAATCCTATTGTGTTCTAATTAACTTTCCCTTTCATACAGTTCACTCATGGTTGCTAATTAATCGACTGATTTCTCTCGTAGTATTCTCTCGAATTACTACTCGACTATTCAAACTAGATTAACGCCTATATTGCTATGGAATCAATCTATTAAGAACGCATTAAGATTACGATATTTAATTAAGCATGGTGACTAGGTATATTCCTATGCTAACCACAAATCCGCCCCCCACTCAGAGTTATGATCATGCCCTCTTCAATTCTTCTCTAATCTAGATATCAACATCTCACACTTAGACTTTTGCTCGTCCTCGAGTAATGGGACTATTAACTACACCCCAACAACTTACACATCTCAACTAGAGAGGAGCAATTTAATTTTTAATCATACACTCTACCCTTGACTGTGATCGATACCGGCAATCAAGCATGAACATGCAAATTTCACATTCTCCCCGTTTTAAACATGCCCAAGTATAAACATTTCAATTCAATCAATTCAAACAACCTATCCATAACCACCCTACTTCAAGAGCCGACTCGTTACCACTAAGCACCATCAATTCACGCACTCACCCAACAAGAGAAGTTAACACATTACCAATCTGTCATGAGATCATGTGCCCTCACCAACAAACACAAGAGTGAATATAGAATAGTCCCCACATTCAAGTATGACTTTGAACATAATTTAAGGACATCACACAATTTAAACAAAAGTCGCTCGCTCTTACAAAGAATTCATGTGCATCCCGTGGTCGTACCATAAGCTTGCCCGTAGTGTACATCTCTACCAATCTAAGCTAGCCAAGTCTAGGATCAATTAGGACTTTATGGGTTATAATGTAGGCTAAGGGATGGGTAGGATACATTTAGGAATAGTGACTAACCCTCCTAAGCACTTTAATACACTACATTCAAAAATCGAGCACATATTCTTCTCAACCAATTCACTCGCCACAAACCATATACAAAATAGCCCCTTTTTTCAATTATGCACTTCTATATTCCCACTAGCACGAATTAGTAAGATTAGGAGGTGTGTTTTTTTCTGACGTGCAATTATTTAGTATCATTTCAAAATTATTTCTAAAATTTGATGTTGAGATAAAGAGTATAATAATTGCAAATATTGAAATAATTTATTCTAATTATAATATTTATTACAATGTTTATTTATATTTTGGTACATAAACTTTCTGGAAGGAGCATTTGACTAAAGAGTAATGGACATGTTATTATATGCCCGGATAATCAAATATAATTTTTCACAAAACTTTCCTCAATTTTTATTTTTTATTTTACTAATATAATTAAATTATATAAAATAATTGGTCTTAACTCTATAACCGATTATAAATCTATAATCTATCTATACTATTATAAAAGTACTAAGCTCATGCGTGAAATATTGATCAATTTTTTTACTTTTTAAAAATAGATTTTACTATAAAATTATTATTTAATTATTTTTTAATATTTAGGACTTGAAAATTAAATAAATTTTTCCTTATTAAATATATTTCCTAAACCCGAACATTGTAGGAATCCTAATATTTAGAACTTTAAAATCAATTAAAATTTTACCTAATATAAATTCTTATCTTATTTGAACTATGTAATGTAACTATAATATCTTTCATGTTAAGTATAAAAATACATATCTTGTTTCTTCCTTTTGAAAATCTGGAAAACAAATTTATATATATACTAAGAGTTTCGTGAAAAATAATTTTACTAATATAATATATTTTAAAATTCGAAAACATTTAAATTGGATTCTTATGCTAATTAGTTCATTCAAACACTTTATTATTTGTTCTCAATGTTGAAGAAAATAATTTTTTTATTCAATTTCTTACTATTAGCTCATTTTTGTTTTAGTATGTTTTAAATTGTTTTTTTTTGTTGAAGAAATGTTATACCTAATGTCTAGGACTTCTTTTCCGTTAATGTCGAGGATTCTTTCTATGAGATCCTAAGAAAGCACATGAGATTTGCTCTAACCCAAAATGTCCATCATTTATAATTTGATTACAATTATGAAAAAATCCTTTATATCCTGATGGAATTAACATAAGTAATAGGAAAATTTTACAATAGTATAGTTATATATATATAGATACAAAATTAACTAAAAACCAATTTAGCTCCTACATATAGTAATAAAGTAGTACTGAAAACCTCCTAATCCTAAAACTGAACGAAACTTTCCTACATATACTCCTACGTATAAAGTGAGTTGAAAGTGAAGGAACCTTTATTAGTGTAAATTGAAAGCGCTTGAAATTTTAGAGTTGAAAGGAATTGAAAAATAAATATTATAAATAGAAAGAATAATAAAATGACTATTCCTAAAAAGTATGAATTAATTAAATGACTATTCCTAAATATTAGGAAATTAATTAAATGACTATTCTTAAATATTAGAAAAATAATCAAAAAGACTAATTTACCAGGGTGAATTCTATTTTTTAAGGGTAAAAAAGGCGAACGCAATTTCGCAAAAGGCCTTCGTGCTTTTAGTATAGTATAGATTTGTATTATTTTTTTTTCTTTTCTTGAAATTTTTCTCTCTCTTTTTTTCTTCTTCTACACACACTCCATACATTAAGGTTCATCGGCTAGTGGTCTTTTTTCACAAATTTAGTGCACCTTAAGGGCCCTTCCATGGTTCCACTCGAAAGCTACTTCCCAATCTCTCACCTTACTTTTTTTAGCGACTAAGTGCCTTCGGATGTAAAGGTTTAACAAGCTCAAATTAAGAACAAAATAGGGATACGACTTGTAATGTGGGTGCAAACAAAAAGGTCTATAGGCTCAAAGGGCTAGCAACGGAAAATTTTTATTTGTAAGCGACAAGCACATCTATGATCAAGCAAAGAACTACCTACATCATCTCCTAGACTAGCACAATTTAATGATTTTGCTTCGATTAACACACGGGGCAAGTTCTAGACTACACAGGATAGCACATAATAACATAATTCCTCACACACACATTGCACATGACTCAATCAAGGCGGTTCTGTTCAACTCTCAAGTCAAGCAAGCACATATAGTTGAGAAATTTTAAGCAATATTGCACTAGGTGACATACAAGTCAAACAACTGAGAAAAGACGTCACAAGTAGGCTATTTATTTTACTCAGGCATCACACTTCAAATCAAATGTATGGGAAGACAGATCGCATGTCATTGCCTAATGTGCCGGCACCAAACCTGTCAATAGGTACCTTAGAGCAACTCTGTTCTTCCTATCCTACTCCTAAAAAAAACAAAGTACCCGGCTCAAGCTACACCCTTGGAAAAGAACCGACGCCCCAAAGAAAAACCAAGGGTTTCAGTCTTTGGGTCTTCTTATGATGACTGTTTGAAGAATTTGGGCAAGGTGTTGGCCCGTTGTGAAGAAACAAATTTAGTGCTAAATTGGGAAAAGTGTCATTTTATGGTACAAGAAGGCATCATGTTGGACATAGAGTGTCAAAGAGTGGCATTGAAGTTCATAAGGCGAAGGTGGAGGCGGTTGCAAAATTACCTCCACCCATCTCTGTGAAGGGTGTCTGGAGTTTTTTGGGACACACGAGTTTCTATAGACGCTTTATTAAAGATTTTTCAAAAATTGCTACTCCATTGTGTAGGTTGCTTGAAAAGGATGTGACCTTCAATTTTGATGAAGCCTGCTTGAAGGCATTCGAGGAGCTCAAAGAGAAGTTGGTGGCTGCCCCCATTATTGTGGCAACGGATTGGTCCTTACCATTTGAACTTATGTGCGACGCAAGTGACTATGCTATTGGGGGATAGACTTCATGGGACCGTTCCCATTGTCTAGAGGAAACAAATATATCTTGCTAGCGGTTGGTTGTGTCAAAATGGGTAGATGCGGCCGCATTGCCAACCAACATGCCAAGGCGGTAGCTAATTTTTTGAAGAAAAACATATTCTCGAGGTTTGGGATTCCACGTGCCTTGATTAGTGATGAAGGGACACATTTCTGCAATCGGTTATTGACAGGGGCGGCTCAATGGATCTTGTGGCCTAAGACGAAACCATATTGAGAGGCCCTCAAATTTATTTTATAAAATTTTACACTAACAACAAAATTTGCTTTCGAAACAACAAATTAATCATTTAAGATAAAAATAGCGAACTTCAAAAAAAAAATTGGAAGAAAAGCACAAAGAATAAAGTGGATTATCGGTTGTTGAGGTCTGGAATTCAAAGAGAAAATTTTGATTTGGCTATCATCACAAACTATCATCACAATCAAGAAAAAGAAATAAACATACATAACGTAATAGCTTAAGTTTTGAGCATTGACGCTATCAAAAATATTTACTCCTTCTGATCAATTTAAACGATAATTGTAGTTCATTCTATTAATTAGTACTTATTGGTAAATATCTAAAATAAATTGTAAATAACCTAATATAATATGTGGAATTACACTAAAAGAAAATCGGTGCATGAATGCTTTTGTGTTCATGCAGTTTCAGAGAAGATTGTAAAAGAAATTCATTCGGTTGTCGATATATATAACTTAATTCCTATATAAAAAAATTAA